GTCCATCCAATTGCAACCATACTTTTGAGCGAATGGAAGAAAGGGAGAATTCACAGTGAGACAGTAACGCTCAAACGAAGCGCACACGATGAGAAAAGACGACGACGTCATAGCCACATGAGATATCGTTATCATTGGTACCATGTAAGAAAACCTGTAAGCGAATTCGTATGATGTCATTTTGTACCTTTCTATCAGAAGCCAGCTTACACAAAAAAGCAAGAAGCCATCTATTCGATGTGCCCACTGTCTGGCTTCGGATTCCTGCATCAAAAAAAACGCAGCCTGCTTTTTTATGGAGGAATCAGAAGTCATACAGAGGGCACACTGTATCCGCAGGATTCAGATACTAACGCAAGATAGGGGGACATACTCTAGGACTAGCCTAGAAGCAGGCAGGAGCTATGGGGAAAATGAAGACTGCTCATGCATCCCGATTTCTCTCCTCACCGCCTTAGCTTGACCAAATTTTTTAGCAAAAAAGAACTCTTCGATTGCATTGTCACCTTAGTGCTCCGTATCTTGCGATAGCGCTCAGGTTCTTGTCTTTATTTGGGGCGCCTACAGTAAGGGCAAGGACACTTGCGCTGCCGTAATTGTTACAACTGCTGCGCTCCAGCAGATCAGCAAACCTCTCCGTTGCGTTAAAGAAAGAGCGAAGTAACGGGGTAAGATAGAAAGAGTTGACGAAGGTACATAGTTCTTGTGCAACGAAAGCCACATTAATATGTATGATTTTTTGAATTTGATAAGCTATTAAAACAATGACAGGGTGGAATAGTGTGTGATAGGTGGAGCTGCTTATCGTACATGCGACCCAAGGATTAAATCTTGAATCATACGCCCTCGGGCCGGCTAGGCTTTCTATCGCTCTGAGGTCAGTTAGTTGTTGTGTTTATGGGCCAAATCGCATTCATTATGATTCTACGACACTGCGTAGAAGTAGACTTATTTTCGGCCTTTTAAGTTGTTTTTCTTTGTTTTTCCCCATCGTTGAGGTGTGTTGCAGCTCTCCTCAGGTCAGGTCACCTAAAATTGAGACACCACTCATTGCTCGAAGCAAGCTTAGGACTAAGCCTAGGCCCAATCATAGGCTTAGGCATAAGCCAATGTGTAAGCATAAGCCTTAACCTAAGTCTAAACCCAAAGCTTAACCTTGGCTTCAATGATCGCGCAGCTGTGGTGACCTGACCCAGGAGGAGAAGTGAACGTCTCCCGTTCGCCTCCAAAGTGCACTATCTCTGAAAGCAGCACTGACGTGTAGCATGGCATCTGCCCTTGAATAGGCTTACTAAACCGGTTTTTCAGCGACTTATTTGGATTTCTGAATAACTGCGTACTTCACGTATAGCATGGAAACGTCACTTATGAACTGTAACTTACCATATTTGCATTAAACGAGCAGATATGAGATAATCAATGAGGACATTCACAGACATCAGAAGAATATAGGCAGTGCTAACGAAGATATCGAAAAAGGCCAATAACATCAGATAAACATTGTGATTGCTGCGATGATGCTTTCTGAAATTGTAATCTTACAAAGCACAAAAACTCGCTTGAACCACTATGGATGAAGGACAAGCTGAACTATGTCTGAAGGTTCCTTAACACACTCATGATTTCTTGTTTCGGCACAGCGCATGAAATTTCAAGTTTTCCATTAAACCTTTCCTTTCATCTTGACTAGTTCACTGCGCTGTTCACTTTATTTGAGTACACATTATGGACACCTTGATAATTGTGAATTATACTTGTAAGCGCTTCACGCGAACACTCTTCAAAGATTATAGGTCACGTTTTCGCTTGATCATAAGGACTTCTGTGACACTGTCACCGTTGCCTCTCGCTCCTCTTCCCTCGGGAACCGATTGTGTCACCTCATTTTTGCGGTGGCTTCTATCTTTGTCTAGCTGCATTCTGCAAAAGACCAACCCAGTTCAGCGCTCCCAGTGTGAACTGCGCAACAGGGTCATGCTTATACTGCAGTACTCACTGCCATAGAGCATCGTGAACCTTACTGCCATCTACTTATTTATCTCCAGAGATTTAGAGCTTCATCAGTTAGGAAAGGATCCGATAGCCTCGCTCCACCCAGCCGTGCCTCGCCTACACTCGCCCACTACCGCTTTTTCTTTGCACCCATCCGTAGCCGTATTGCTTCAAAGCATCAGTAGTCCTTCGTCGTGTCGACGTATTTCCGCTGCGAGCAAGAGAAAACTTGTGAATGCCTACAAGCCCAGGAACAGGGTCCATTTCCTGCCTATTCTGAACATTTCACCAGTCTCTGTACTCAGGCTTGAAGAAGAGTTTCCAACGCCACGAGCTACTACATGGAATTATATCAGTGTTTTAACAGCCTACATTTAAGCTGTTGTCAGAGTCCGCGAACCGTCGCGCGAATCGCAAGTGCCCCATTTGAACATTTGAAACACTGAATATGAAACAAGTAGAATCATGAACAGTCGTCATTCAACCATCACCATCAAGCAGAAATGGCGGCGGGATTGGAGAGCACCTTCGCAGTATTGATCGGGGCACTTGTGATTTCTGTGATTCGTCGCGCGGCTCGCGCGAATCGCGCAACAAATCGTAGTCTCTGACAACACCTTAGGGGAACGATTGCTTATGCTTTTAGAAGGCACCTCTCAAAGTATCTTCAAGATGAATTCTCCGTTTTTTAAGGTGAATTAGTCCTTTCGCTGCTGCCCTTTTGCCCTTTTCGAAACGAGCTCATGGAATAAGCCTAATATTGCATGTTCCCTAAATCCGTTTCAGGGAGCGGGAACAAGAGTTGCTTAAAGTTTATCGATTGGATTATCGGTTGAAAAACGTTTGTCGACAAACCTCGATATAAACACATAGAAAAGAAGCACGTTATTCATGATGCTGATGAACGAAACGGTTGAACCGAACACAGTGACGAGCCAGAATCGGATGTTGATCATCGGCGGTTGCTCGAAGTAACAACTTTCTGGAGTCGTCGATACCAGCGACTCGTTTAATACTGTTTCGTTCATCTCCATTCTAAAAAAGAATTCATGGTTTTTAAGAGTATCTCATAAGTTCA